AAACATATTAACTCCAAACATTCGGTAGAATTTATAGAATATTGTAAAAATTATGGTCTATTACCAACATATATATATATATATGTTGGTGTAGTTCGTTTTTCGATTTTTCTCACTAGTTTTTTGGCAAACGTTTAGTTTATTAAAATTCAAAATAAACTTATTTTCCGAATTCATGCTGTAAATAAAACCATATTTCGATTCAGAATGAACCATTATCAGTGCAATTTAATTTATATAGAGAAATATTCACTTTGTCAAATTGAACTTAGATGGAAATTAGGTGTCAGATTTCTTTATTGACTGGTCCATCTTCGTTGGTTTCCTTTTCTTCATCGATAGCATCATATTCTTCTTTGTCATTATTTACAATGCTAGTTTTTATTACTTCTTTGTTTTCATTGTTGATTAAGTGAGGTTGTCATTTTTTGTTGTATATTTATTTTTGGTTTATTGATGTCAATTAGGACTGCTTCTGCAATTTTAAGATGCGTGTAGTTGCTGTTCTGGTATATTACTTTGGTGTTGCTGTCGAGGATTTCACGGCTAATTGTGATTGAGTGTGTTGAGTCCAAATGAGATTTGATAGCACCACTCTGTTTATGCATCGTAAGCCTTCTAGTCAGTGAGGTAGTAGTAATCCCAATATATGAGTCATGTTGACGAGCACAGCCGTCAAAGGGGCAATTAAATTCATATATTACGTGATTACGCTTTAACACAGAGTTATCTCTAGGACTTCAGTTGTTTTTCAGTATTAGGTGAGATGTCTTTTTATTGTTGTAATAAATTCGGAGTTTAACTTTACTATTTGGGTTGGTTGGTTGGTGTGACATTTTTATTGATGATATGATAAGAATAGCTTCATCTACTTACACAGAGTTATCTCTAGGAGTACAGTTGTTTTTCGTATTAGGTGAGACGTCTTTTTATTGTTGTAATAAATTCGGAGTTTAACTTTATATTTCGGTTGGTTGGTTGGTGTGACATTTCTATTGATGATATGATATGATACCAAATAGTAAATTTAAACTCCGAATTTGGTGGGATTTATAGAATATTGTAAAAATTATGGTCTATTACCAGCATATATTATTATTATTATTATTGAAACATTTATGAAGCGCTAATTAAACGAATCTCAAAAGCGCTATCTAACAAAAACTGAACTTAACAACATAATTGAAATAACAAACGAGAAATCATAATACATCGCACAAAAATAAGATTAAAATATGGTCATAAACAGAAAAGTAATCCATTAAATATAACGAAAATACGAAATAATATTTATAACATGTCGACTAAACAGAAAGAATTGATAAATAATGCATTACAATGAAAATAAATGAGTTTTCAGTTTCTTCTTGAAGTCACGCAAGTTTAGGTCCGGATTTCTGAGAGCAGCAGGCAGGTTGTCCCAAACAGTTGGTCCAGAAACAGCAATGTTAGAGAGCCTATACAGAAACTCGTTGTTGGGATCAACAGCAGGTTTGAAACATCGAATCTCAAGTGTGTTTTAGATGCTTTTGAAGATCTCTTTTTGAACCTGTCAGACAAATAAGATGGAGCTAGACCGTTGATAGACTTGTAGACAAGTGTTGAAATTTTGAACAAAACTCTTTTGTTGACGGTTAGCCAATGAAGTTCCTTCAATATTGGAGACACATGATCGTATTTTAGAGCTCCAACAACAACTTTTGTGGCTCGATTCTGTATTGATTGAAGTACAGCCATGGATCGATCAGGCAAGTCATAAAACAAACTGTTGCAACAGTCGACGCGTGAGTGCACAAATGCATGAACCAACATCTGCAACGTGGATGTATCTAGGGATCGTCGAATTTGATTGATTTTCCTGATTTGAAACATGCATTCGGCTGAGAGCTTCTTAATGTGTTGTTTCATTGACAAACCTAAATCAATCATGAAGCCCAGATTAGCTGCTGTCTGACAAAATGGGATGACCTCATCATTAACAGTTATTGAAATTATATCTATTCTTGAAAGTTGCTGCCATGTTCCAATTGGTAAAAAAACAATCTGTGTATAAGTGGTGGGACCAATAATGCATCCTGCTTCCCAATAGTAGCTAAAGTAGCTCATAAGTATCTGACAATTCCTGCTACATCTGTGCATAGTGAGCAGACATTTTCCATGTCTGGTGAAAGCATAAATGAACGACAAAACCGACTGAAGCTCAAACACGTGGAACAGTTAGATTTTCTTTCATAATTTGCACTAGGTCTAGATAAAAATACTTATTTTGTCTGTTGTGACATGTTTTAAGACTTATAATAATTTGCTTTCAACCTTTAAATTTTTTAATTTTTTCAATGAAATTTAATAACAAAAAAATCAGAGTTCACTTTCATTTAAAAAAAAAATAAAATTTTATAACTGAAAATCATCTAAATTGAAATGATATTTTGACATCAAACCACCACTACTGATTGTTTAACATAAAACACACCTAGCCTATAACAAGTTAGGTGTTCAAACAGTAATGCACCTTAGGTCGGGATAAGAGAGATTGTACTTTATGCACTCGTAATGGCAAACTGTACCTGCATTAGCAGGTCAGCAAATTCACACCCTCATACACAAATGGGTATGCTCAAAAATTCTCAAAAACATCTAAGACAAAATTTCATATGATGTAGCACTCTTAGACATTGCTCCCTTTTAGTTCTCAAAGCGCACTTGTAATTATTATTATACCAATAAATAATTAAAAGTTCAGTTCAAACCCGGTTACTGCAAAACAGCACCAGCTGACCTTAACCAATAGGTCATCACGCCACTCAGTATGTTTCACCAGAGAAGCCTCAACATTTTCTGCGGTCTTAGTAATTTATACTATGCTTAGTAGTAATTACCATTGACTAAGTAAAAAAAAACATGGCATAATATTTTACTGTAATCTTAGCAAATTTTCAATAATCTATGTATTATTTACATTTTCTACAAAGTAAAAAATGTGTAAACACTAACACTACAGACCCAATAAATTTTCATAACATGTGCAGCAGTGTAGAAGTAAAAACAGATGTGCTGAGGTAACAAGGCATAGTGTTCTATCATGGATAAAATGTCACGCACAAAAAACTAGTAGACAGAAATCATGTCATGTCATTCATAGTCATACTAATCAACCAATGACTAATGAGAATACCGGGTTTGCGGGTTTTAAATAATTACTTGTGTTTTGAGTTTATGATTACATTTTTTAATTAATATTGAAAAACAGCAGGCAGACAGAAACCACCTTGAAAATAGGTCGTCGGTGGGAAAAGAAGCTTGTTGCATATAATTCTCCCATTGAGAACTGTCGTGCATCCAATTAGAAGGGGCTTCGTTGAGGTTTGTATTAGCTCGCAACATTTGGAATTTGACGGGCATTTGCAGTTGCTTTGGGGATGTTTCAACTTTGAAAAAATTTTCTTTTTTCTTATCTTTAACTGCATCTTCCTTTTTCTCTAATGTAAAAGAATCGTCCAACAGCTGCGAACCTAGAACCCCACTCATGTTCGAAATTGAATAATAATATTATTTTGATAATAAATAAGCATAGAGTTTCCGTGAAAGTGAGTTTAAATTTTATTTAAACAATAAATAAAATCGGCTGGTACTATTTGACTTTCTTGGCTTATTGGCTTTGTTAGGAAAAAGCTTAGGTTTTTGTAAATATATATATTTATATACGGCCTTATTTACAGCATGAATTCGGAAAATAAGTTTATTTTGAATTTTAATAAACTAAACGTTCTCTAAAAAACTTTAGTGAGAATAATCGAAAAAAAGAACTACAAACATATTAACGCCAAACATTCGGTAGAATTTATAGAATATTGTAAAATAAATAAATAAATATATATATAAATATATTTATATATATATATCTATATTATATATATTTATTTATTTATATATAAATAAACACTCAACGATATGGAATTGTTGTAAATCGTATTTATTGAGAACTAGAGACATAATTTGGCTTCGGCTAACAACGTTGTTTCGGTGTAAACACCACCTTCAGAACCTTGTGTGAGATACAAATATTGCAATAAATGAAAATGTAAACCAAATAAAACAAAATGTAATATAATAGTACCTAAAATGTTACGTGTTGTGATTTAAAACAGGCCAAATGAAACTTAGTAATATATGAATAAATAATTTGAAGAAATACGTTAAAAGCAAAATGTTACCTTGTAATGCAGATGAAATTGAATAATTAGTGAAATAGATTATAGTTTAATATTAAAATAAATAAATGGAAACATATTTACGTAAAACAACTATAGTAATTTAAAACAATACGGCTTTAAAATAATACTAGCGTTGATCTCAAAAACTGGGTTCATGCATTCATTACTGGGATTTGGTGTCCATTGTTCACACAATCATCAACAGCATAAGCCATGTTTATAGCAGATATTTTTGGCCAGTGCAAGTACGTAAAGTAAGCCCTCTCTCACCTCATGTATACATACGCATATGTAGGTATGTTTATATGTACGTATGCAGTATGTTTGTTTTGTTTTTATGTATGTTTGTTTGTATCAATTCTCGTTTATAGTCTCCATTTGTTTAGAGTCGGACTTTTTTATTCCATTCATCAGCTTCTGTCTCCAGTAATTTAAAAAAATACAGCGATAAAGTAATACTTACTAATATTACTTTTGTCAAAGTTACCTTGCAAATCGATCTCAATATGTTGTTATAAGTAAACATCATTCTTCCTTGTTGCCTATTGTCTCCGGAGTGCTTCAGGGTTCTGTACTGGGCCCTGTTTTTTTAATATATTTATCAATGATTTATGCAGATCGACTAAGACTGATAAGTATATTATGTATGCGGATGACACTACCATTTTGGCGGCTGGCGATTCCATAGGTGAAGTTGAATGTATTCTTAACTCAGAGCTCGCAAGAGTTCACTTGTGGATGATAAATAATAAACTTTAAATTAATTTATCAAAAATTTATGTAATTCTTTTTGGTTCTAAAATTGTCACCAATTTACTAACATTCTCTATTTTCTACAATAACAATTTGGTGGGTCGATTGGACAAATTAATCTTTCTAGGTGTTACAATCTCAGGCAAAGTACTGTTATAACCGTGCTACCGAACGCACTAGATTCTAGCATATTCTAGAATGTTCTAGTGACTGGAGCATTCTGGAGTAAGCTAGAATCGGACCATCTAGAAGAATCTAGAAACGACGCTTGCAAAGAGTATATAAGCGCACGTCGCAAGTGATTAGTGATATTCGTGATTAGTGAAATTCGTGATTTTGTGAATAGCGATTCGGTGAATATTCGTGATTAGTGATGTTCGTGATTAGTGAAATTCGTGATTTTGTGAATAGCGATTCGGTGAATTATTTAAAGCGATGTTTGATTTGTTTGTTGACGTTGTCATAGCGATAGATTTTGAACGATTTAAAAGTTAATTGTTGCGTTAGTTTGAATTTACTGGAAATAAACGATTAGTTGATTTCTTCTGTAAATAAAGTTTAATAACTAATAATAGTTGATTTCTTCTGTAAATAAAGTTTAATAACTGTTTGGAATATTTTATTCAATCGAGGATTTGAACCCGTCGCATCGTAAATCGGTTACGACAGCGAGTATTATAACAGTATATAAAAATCTAAGAATAATCTATAGACTAGAATATCTCTCACCGAAATGTATATTAATTAGTTTATACTATTCTCTTATTTATCCTTATTTCACTTATTGTATTGTAATTTGGGGTCGTTACATTAAGTTTCATATTATTATCTTAGATAGATGTTTATACTTCTTTATTCGTATTTATTATGACCTGAAAAAATATGATCATATTTCAGATTATTTATCGTTGTCTAAATTTGTTGTCTATTCCTAAACTGTACGTTCTCAGATTATTATTATTCTTGTTTAATGTTATAGTTGAAAAAAAAATTGTTATGTTTAATTCATATTTAATTAAATCTTCTAAATATTGCAAAAAACAATTTGGCACACTCCATTATACAATTGTATTGTCCATCGTACTACTTTATTTTCATCTTCAATTTTTGTTTTTGGTTTAAAACTGTGGTCAAAATTACCGTGTTTAGTTTTACAAGTATCTAACTATGAACTATTTGAAAAATCGATTTTTGATTTAATTAAGAACAACTATTTTTCACAAGATGTGATTTAATTATTTCAATTATTTAAGTTATTTCATAAGAAAAAACTTCTAATATGAATTCAATTGTTTTGTTTAACTTGATAAATTTTGATGCTAATTTTTGTTCTAAGTAATTTCTGCTCATTTTTGGTTAAATTTAACTTGTTGTCATTGGCTAACCATACGATTTTATTTTCATTTATGTTGTTATTTTCATGTAGGTATATGTTTTTATTTCGTTTGGGTGGCCGTACAAACTCGTTTGAGCTTCTGTGTTTCCATGCTTTTTGCTGAATAAATTGGATAAATTGAATATAACATATGAATAAAATTATATATTTTGGTGTTTGTGCGTGTGTGTGTGTTAATATGCTGTATATTTATGACAATCTTTTGTTAGAGCTTCGTTGAAATTCAGCAATTAGGTATAATTGATTGTACAACATAAAATAAACATATAATAACATTGTTCATTGTTAATAAATTTTAATAAAAAGATTTACATGCAATACGGTTCTGTGTCTCCATGCTTTTTGCTGAATAAATTGAATTGAAAAAAGATATATATATATATATATATATATATATATATATATATATATATATATATATATATATGTTGGTAATAGGCCATAATTTTTACAATATTCTATAAATTCTACCGAATGTTTGGCGTTAATATGTTTGTAGTTCGTTTTTTCAATTTTTCTCACTAAAGTTTTTTGGTGAACGTTTAGTTTATTAAAATTCAAAACAAACTTATTTTCCGAATTCATGCTGCAAATAAGGCCATATTTCGATTATGAATGATGAGTCATCATCAGTGCTTTTTGATGTTTATATAGGGAAATATTGACTTTGTAAAAATGAACTTAGATGGAAATTAAATGTCAGGTTTCTTTAGTGGCTGGTCATCCTCTTTGGTCTCCTTATATATATATATATATATATATATATATATATATATATATATATATATATATATATATATATATATATATATATATATATGTGTGTGTGTGTGTGTGTGTGTGTGTGTGTGAACGAGTAAAAATATATAGTACAGCCTTAATACGATTGAGTACATCATGCTTCCGAGTTGATGTTGAGATAGTTGGTACTGGATGGTTGGTGGTTGTCGTAGTTGGTTGATTGGTGGTTGACTTGTTGTTTCTGTATTGCTTTGACGGCTCGAGATGACTGGATTCTATCATTCTACGCTCCTATGTTTATTATTAGTTAACGATGGTTAATAATGCGATGTTGGATGTGTAAGTATGGGCGTGTGTTTATGTGTTCAGTGCCTAAATAGTATGCGGTGTAGTGGTTTGTTGATTGTGTATGCTTGTAGGATGTCGTTGTGGTTTTGGATGCATCCATGTAGGATTAGAGTGGTGATGATATCTTCGTAGAATGAGTTAAGTTGTCTGTTGTATGGTCGAACGATTATGAATTTGTTGTTGTTGTTTTTGTTTCCGGTTTGGAGAATGTTCTCGTAGTTGTTGTTCTGGTTGTTGTTGTTGGCGTCTTGGTTGTTTGTCACCTCATTTGTAATGCTATTATCAGATTCTGTTGTGCTATTGTTATTGTTGGTATTGTTGGTATTGTTGTTGTTGTGGTTATCTGATTCTGCGGTGTCGTTATCGTTATAGGTGTTGCCATTGGTTGGGTCGTTCTGGTTGGTGAGAATTTCGTTGATGAAGGTGTTGTAGATGGTTTGTTCGTTATCTTCTACATCTTCTTCATTGTCGCATGTGATGTTATAAGTTTGTGTATTGGTGTCGTCGTCGGTGATTGTGTTGGTGTTTATGTTTTCATTGTTCGGGTTGTTGTTGTTGTTGGGTTTTGGTGAGATCTTTGTGTATTGCTCTGCGATGGCTTTGAAATGTTTTTTGAGTTTTTGGTAATTATATTCTCTTTGCTTGAGTCTGTTGATAAGTTTGAAGCTACTCTCTTTGAAGTCAATGAACAGTGATGAAATGGATGCGTAGCGTTTGATTTGTGATGTGACGATTGATTTGAAGGTGTGTGGTGGATGGTGTGAGTTGTGGTGTAATAGATCGAAGGTGTTGGTTTGTTTGAAGAGAGGTTTTGAATGTAAAAAGGGTGAGTGTGGGATATTCTTGAAGATAGTGGTGTCAAGAAAGTTGATGTGTTCAGAGTGTGTTTTAAAGGTTAGTTTTATAGACGGGATAAGATTATTGGCAATAGCCATTATTTTTTTGAGTTGTTGTGTAGTGCCGGTGAATGTGAAAAATATGTCATCGATGTATCTATTGTATGCGTTGATGTGTTGTTTGAAGTGTTTGTTGAGGGTGTCGTCTAGGTGATGTAGATAGAGATTGGCTAGTGTGGGGAAGAAGATTTTTCCCATTGCGCATCCGTTTGTTTGTAAGTATTGTTGATTGTTAAAGATGAAGTCGTTGTTGTCGAGTGAGATTTGTAAGAACTTAATAGTCATGCAGTTGTACGGATTGTGTGGCATGTATTTTGAG